ATGGGGGCGGGGCATCGGTGCATGGGTATGGGGGCGGGGCATTGGTGCGTGGGTGTGAGGGCGTCTCTGTCGCACAGCCCCAGTGACACCGGGCCACACCCAGCCTAGACACCCTCCAGAACCAGGAGAATAGCCAGACATTCAGGCCCCCTGATGAAATGTCACCTTTGGGGTCTCACCCCCCCTTATGCTATATCATATTCAACGACAGTACCAAGCTAATACTGAGCACAATCACTACGTTCTGCCCAGTTCACACTATGCAAAGCACTGGGGGGCATGGGCAGGGCTGGGGGGGGGGAGAGACAGTAGACAGGGAGCCTTCGTTTGCGTCACTCAGCGGGGACAGTGACAGCTCTCAGGCCACCGCTCGCCGAATGCCATCCCACTGCTAATAGTGCTGTACATCCTTCCTCTGAAATCACAGAGACACGCTCTGCGTGTGGATAACGCTGCAGGCTGTCAGCGAAATCACTAGGGATTACCCCCTGGCCTGTGACCCAGCGTGCCCCCACCATCGACAAATAGCCGTTTAAATAGACATCATCCCCGTTTCGATGCCTTTAAATCCTATCAGGGGATTATCCCCAGCGCTGGAGGAAGGCGCTGAGCCCGGTCTCCCTGGTTATTCTGCCGTGGAAATGGATGACCATGGCTTGTGGCCTGGGGGGTCAATGGCTGGTTTGTAAATACACCCGTCCTGGTATGTCACTGAGGCGTGATCACAAAAACACAGGCAAACCAGCCAGCTAAGGGGTGGACACGCCAATCTGGCCTGTATTTACCCGGCTGACCGATCTTGGGGGATTTTACCTGGACAGTCCACCAGGGGGTCGCTGGGCTCCTGACTGCCAGTCACATCAGGTCCCGAAGCCATAATATCGCAGTCACTGTTGGAGGGACAAAGGCCATTATTAGAGGAGTGAAAAGTGTTAAGGAGATTCCTGTCAGGCAGAGAAGTTTAAAATGATAGAGAAGGTCGATGGTAGCTTGAAAAAAAATCTGTGTTTCATAAGGTGAATGAATATGCTAATAATGAACTCAGGTGCATGGTGGGAAAAATCTGAAGACTTGATGTTGGGAATGAATTTGAGGAGAAGCCGTTCTATGAAGAACGAGTTTCATCAAGAGTGTTTACAGTCAGGGTGGAGAAGAGGGTTAGCAATGGCTTGACCAGAAAGACAGAACTACGATGAGCAATGTAATAAGAAACCACAATCCGATATCACTGACAGATGAGATAGTATATGTTATGGTAACGGCCATCCCGGAAAAAGCCAAGACACTAGCAGGAAATCATCGCAAGATCCCACGGGATGCTGAGGCCAGTCACACTGTTCCCCTACATCACTCCAACTTAATGTGGCTGTCTCAAAGCCAGCCTTGTGCCATAACCCAGCTTCCTGTTCCTGTGGGAACCATGAGACCCTATTGGATCTGCCTGGGATTCCCCAAGGCCTTCGCCGACTCCAGTTTAAGAGGAAGTAGTGAACCCCTGGGGTGGGATTTCAGGGTCAGAGATCTTGTGTGAAAGTTGATCACAGGAGGCTCTGAGAGCGGACGCCTCCAGTGAGTGAGAGGCTGGTCCCAACAAACATGCAAGCAGACAGACAGACAGACAGGCAGGCAGACAGGCAGGCAGGCAGGCAGGCAGGCAGGCAGATAAAAAGTGAGATATACAGACAGGCAGACACAGACAAGTACACACTGACAGACAGAAAGATACTGACAGACAGACAGATACACAGAGCGGCAGATAGACAGACAGGGAGGCAGACAGACATTTTATTCAGTCTGAAGGAGATTTCAGCTTTGCAGTAGCATAATACACACATTTAGTCAGTAAAAAGACATTCGGACTAATAAACAGTAACAAGTAATAGACAACAATAAGACTTTAAGACCTTTTATTGTCATTAATAAATAGTAACAGTGCAAAGAATCAAGGTAAGTATCGGCTCAGTAAAAATATTATTACATGGGTTGTACAGTGAATGATTCTGTAAATGTGCCTAAGTGGACTCGTTGTCATTAACGCTTCTGTTTGGTACCAGAATTCACAAATATCTTGTGCCCCTGGGTGGAGGCTTAGGGGGCAGGACAGGGGAGGTGCATTTGTGGGACCAGCTAACTTTATGGGTCACGTCTCCAGCCTCAGCATATAAATCGCTGACAGGAAAACAGAAAAAAAGAGAGAGCAGGGAGTGGAGTCCCTCGATTCCCACGAGTGAGAGCATAAATCTGGGAAGAGCCACACATTACTCACCGCGGGATGGCGAGCTGCCGTAAATAACCTGGACGCTGATAAAGCCACCAGGAAGGATGAGCAAATACGAGACGTGCGGCGGAACATCCATTACCGCGATACCATCTCTGACCGCGGGAAAACGCTGAACAAGACACAGGGGAGGAAGTCGCCGCGTTCGGGAATAAGACAAGGCGGGGACGTGGCTCTCTGAGGATGCGGCATTAAGGTGTAAATAACCCTCCAATCCCATGCATTTGCTAATTCTGACTGGCCCCGTCTGGATGTCCAATGTCATGAGCCCCTAATCAGCAACCCTCTGCAGCTGGTTTCTCGACACACCGCACCGTGTCCCCCCCGCCTCTGTGAGGCGCCGTTCTATTCCCAGAAGTGCTTTTATAGCCACATGACGGCGCAATGTTAGCGGCTCACTAAATGCCCAGCGAGGGGCGTTTAGCCACCATAGTCTGTTCTATTCTTTTGGGCTTCAGTCCTCGAACCACAGGCATTTAAAACATCCACACGTACATAAAAGCTCTTATTTGCATAGAGCAGAGAGTTAAACATCAGAGGCTGCAGGTCCAAAACAATGCAGACTGGGCGAGGTTACTTGGGTTTGGGTCAAACTACAGGCCTGCACTGCTCCTACTGCTAGTTAGTTTTTGTCTGTGTGTTTTGATGCCAGATGCATTGTGACCGTGTGAATCTACACTCCACCCTCCCCCCCCCCCCCCACCCCCCACCCTCCAAGAGTCTGCTTGCTGCAGTCCACTCAGGAGATGTCAGATAAGGTCGCCTCAGCTGTGACCCACCCCCTCTCCCTGAAATGCAGTCAGTAATGAAGTTAGCACTGAGATGGCTACAATCAACACAGGACTCCTCCAGTAACCGCGACAGTAATTGAACAGGGGGGGGGGGGCAGCATCAATTCTCATGTAGAAGAGGCTAAAGTGGCTGATTCCTGGACCTTACAGTTATGCAACCAAGGGCCAGGACTGCAAGGCCGGTTTTGGGGCTCAGTCAGCCATGGCCTCACATTTAAAAATCACACAGCAGCGTGATCCGAAACGCCAAAGCCCATGTGATATAGTGTCAGGCTGAGCTGTGTACGGATTATTGACGATTGTTGAATTAACAGGGAAATCTCAGCTCTCTTACCATTAAACACTGTGATCATAACAGAAAGGCAGTCAGAACTCCAGACGGGTAAACCTTGGAAAATGCTAGGAAGAGGATCACCGCCGTCGTCACTCAATGGGGAATTTAATCAGATCGCGGGTTACAGGTCCCTGCAGTCTGCTGTGCAGCAGCTGCATCAGCACTGCCATCCAGGGGGCGCTGTGGTACCCTCACCAACATTCAAAGCAGGGCACTGCGGTGAGTCAGGTCCGCTGGGCCCAAAGTGTGCGCCGATGGATGTTTATGCCATTTACCAAATGTCCCAACAGCAAGAAGCAATCCTAAACAGGTCACCTGTGTCAACAATGATTGTCACCGTGACACGTGATCACCTAGACACGGAGGCTGGATCGGAAAATGGCTCTGTTGCCCTGGAGACATGTCAAAATTGCTCGGAGTGTTCTGAAACATTCCATGAGTAGCTGAACGTTATTCCGGTTCTGGGAAGCCAATAGGAAACAGAACCTCGACGCGATGCAGAGAGGACCGTGGGGACCCTGGATCACAGACTCCATATCCTGATGGTTTCCCTGGGGAGGCTTCTACCAAAACCGCCGGCGAACTCAGCGGCTTTCAATCATTAATCCATCTCTCCAACACAGAGAAGGAGCTCTGGAGTGCAGCAGGACCATCATCGCCACTGCAGACCAGACACCTTCCACCTGGGGATTTAACACGGGCCAGGAAGGTTCTAGATTTGTGCTCACTAAAATCACCCTTGATGCAGACTCTACCAACGGGTGCCCAAGTGTGAGGTGGGGACAGGGGTGAGGGTGACGGGATCGGTGCAGGAATTGGAGTGGTGATGGTGTGGTCACTGACCTTACCGGGGGAACGCCATTTTGGGAAGGGCACTGGCAGTTTGGTACCGGTCATGGACAGTGTTGCCAAGTATCACACATCTGGCGTATCACGCTTTCAGACTCTCGCGCTCACACAAGAAATCTTACAGCAAATCTATATTATTCCAACATAAACCTAAAATTAGCTACGTCAAAAGCGTTGGGGTACTTTGCAAACCCTCAGACTATTTACAAGGTAATGAACCTGTAACATACATGTAAAGGTTTGCGCAGACTTCTTTCAAACTGAAAATCTCACGTCAGCAAATCAGCACCTTACAACAAACCTATTGCAAGGCAAAAAAAAAAACGTAAGGCGAAAATGCTTTTTAATACAGTACACGTAACCTAACAAACACAGGCTATAGCCTAGCCTACCTTAAACATTAGGCTGGGCAAAATCAATAACACAAAGCCTATTTTATAGTAAAGTGTTGAATATCTCATGGAATTTATTGAATAATGTACTGACGGTGAAAACATTTACCCATCGTAAAGTCGAAATATTGAAACACGGACCATCGTAACCTGGGCAGTGTCCGTATATGCTAATAAGTCAACAGGCCTTTATTTATGGTATTGTTGTCAAAAATTAGAAATACAGAGTATATCGATTCCATCACATATAAAACCGTCTCATAATGTACCCACAATGCTAATTTTTTTATAGTATTAGTTCTATAGCCTGCTCTTCCGTGTCACTGTAACCACTGAGGCTCGTAGGCTCTCAATGCGCATGCGTAGACCTGACTGCAGTCTCACACATGGGGTGTCACTTAAGATGATTCGTTCAGAAACGATGCAGAGTGTGGCCAGAGGGACATCGGGAAATACTTTGGCTTTGTGCCAAATGAAGACATTATACCACAAGACATATGCAAGCCTGTATACAAGCTGGAAGCAATACTGACAAAGGGGGGCACACACCACGAATTATCTAAACATTTAAAGTACTGACACGTGACACAATACAGTACAAAGAGTTTCGAGAGATAGGTATCTAATTTGTTAATGAATGGAATATTAATCTCTGTTACAGTTGAAATAGAGATGATGTAATTTTTTTCTGTTGGTTAAAACATTTTTTGTAGTCAGTCTGAAATTATTTTACCCTGTGGGTTGCATTCGGCTCCATACGATCTTGTAAGGTCATGTTGATTAGTGTTGATCATTCAGATAGAAACTTCTAGAGCCGTGTGATTATTAGAAGTGTTTGTGCTTTGAGGCACAAGATAAGGCATATAAAAGTAATCATATCAGTATTTCATACAAGTATAGCAGTTCTATTATGAACAATGGTCGCTACTGTAGTTAATATTATTATGCTTTGATTCACAATGCAGTGAGGTTTTTTTTTTTAGAAATAAAGACATGAGTTTACAAAAGGTTAAGTTTTTACTGCAAACAAAATTGTGATCTACATTTTTTTTACATTATATACTGTGTTGAAAATGATATTGAATTTCAATACTTTTCTTGGTATAGTATCGAAGTTTGAAATTTTGGTATCGTGACAACACACTAATTTAGGGACATAATCTCATTTCAAACTGTTTAATTCCTAATATTTTCTCACATTTGCAGTGCAGGCCCTGAGGCACACATGCGGGAGCTATGCAGGCCACATCCCCCCAAAGCCAGACGGGCCATGATGTTGGGGGGCGGGGTGATCTGGGTCCTTTAAGGCCGCTTCCATCTGTGCCCTGGACGGGCTTCGGCTCGGGGGGGGTATGAGAAGCTGACCATGTGAATCCTCTTACAGAACTTTCCAGAAAGCCGACGGGAAAAACGTGGCTTTGTTTCGGGTGAAGTAAAAGGGGCATGCCTTTAATTACCAGGAACCAGGGGCCTGAATTATACACAAGGCCTGAAGTGTTTAGTTTGAGCGACCAATATAGAAAGGCAGGCCATAAACTCACGCACACTGTCAACATATGAGAGAGTTCCTGACTCTATTACACGCTGACAAGATACAGAAAATATGCACCGGGCGGGGGGGGGTCGGTGGTACTGGGGAGGGAGCTGTATGACTCGCCGGGGGGTGTGCAGGCTGACGTTCCAGAAGAATCATGAGGCCGCAAGATTGGACCCGAGCTTCACTGCTCTGGGGATCAAAGGCATCCTGAAGATCTTCTTGACTATCTGGATATTTCAGGCATCACCAGATAAACTGGGAATAAAGATCATTATGCCCGGGTCCTGGGAATCCAAACCCAGAAGCAGAAATAAGGAAAAGTAAAAAGAACATTCTGGAAGCATCTGGAAGCTTAACGGGTCTGTCCATCACTTTGACTTTGCACTTTGACCATTAGCCTCAAGAAAACCCATTTGTAATAAAAGAAAAAAAGGGTACCGTGTCCATGGTAAACACTGTTAATAATCCAGGCATGTAAGTGTGCAGATCGGAACATGACAGACACAAACATCAGCCTTTGCACGGGCTGACGCCACAAAGGGCAACTGCTGGGGTATCTTCATACCTCCACGCCAGAATCTCCCAAACTACAGGCCATATATCTTTCACCACCTTCAGTCAGGGGAATGTTAACGAAGTCACCATCGACACACAGTAGCTTGCTCGTGGTTACACAACACAGAGCCATCACGTCACACACTGCTTTTGTTGTCATACCTGAAGCGCGTCTCCTTGGAGCCCTGGAGCAGAACCAATGGCGCTGACCAGTAAAACGCGCCAGGCTCATGCGGACCCCAGTGTCAACCTGTACGGGTTTATATCGTTTGTATGAACCGTTTCAGCCCGTCTTCCTGTTTTCGTCACTGGTCCTTGTCAGGGAATTTCCTCAGTCTAAATGAGATTTCACCCCCTGTTCTGTATAACTTCTGATTAAATGCCATTGGGTGGTTTGATCACATGCTAATCCTTCAGCGCTGGATTGGTAGCTCTGCAGTGAACCCCTGCTCTTCATAGGTCTTTAGGGGGCGTGACCCAAGCACCTGCGTGGCTGGGTGGGCAGGACCCAAAAGGGGATGGAGCCCATAAAGAGGAGCTCACACATGGGTAACAATCAGCAACAGTGTTTACTATCACTCAAACCTCACATTTGCATGGGGCCCCTGACATTTGGGGGGGGCTGCTGGCCATAAGCAGTCACTAAACTGGTGCTTTGAAGAGATTTTTTTAGTGGGAATCCAGAAACAATGAACCCTGGTTCACCCCCTGGTAACGATAGTGGGTAATTCCGCATCAAATAGAGTGGAACAACATTCCAAGTTGGAAAGCTTTTGCCGAGGGTCACCGCAGCCTCTTATGACACGTTACCGTGCCAGCCGTACTTTCGCAGACCGTTTCCACGGCGCCGGGACACCACGTCCATAGTCAGAGACACTCTGCAGACGTGGACTCGCTCCAGGCCACAGGGGCACGGGGGTGGGGAGGACGGCCTTCTGTTTTTTCAGTAACTGCAGAGAAATTGCGCCCCCATTTTTCTACGCAAGGTTGGCACGGCAGTGTGGCGACAGCGGCTGGCTTGGGATCTGGAGGCACTTAAACCCCTCTAGATGTCCCCTCCCTCAGGGACAACGCGACATGCAGTGCTAACCCTGGTGATTAGGGCACCTAGGTCATCCTACGGTCCAGGGGTCTCTCACGCAAGTTAAGCCTGGGACGACGGAGGACTGAAGGCTGAACTAGGTGATGGTCCATCAGCATGACATGCGTCATCACTAGGAGAAATTCTCCCAGCTTTCGAAGAGGACCTGATGACGCCATTTGGTTTTTGGGCAGCAGAAGCAGCCTGCATCTCAGCAAGCACAAGTAAAATTAGAGGAGCTCAGTGAACTCTGAGTTAATTTAAGTACAATTGAACACTGCACTGGGGAAGGGGGGACAGTGTAACAAATTAAGCCTTCTATGTTTGTGCAGAAGTTTGGAGGGGGTCAGATCTCCCTGGGCAGCTGACTCCTGGTTCCCTCCTTCCGCTATGAGAGCTTAAAAATACCTCGGAGACCAGGACGGTGGGAGCGTCACTGCTGCGGGTCCATCGCTCACCTCCCCGCAGCTTACAAAGGCCCCTGAGGAGCACAGGCGGATTCCACCACGTAAAGCCCACAACTAATCGCCAAATATGGCCAAACTCTCACGGCCGCCGTACGATAATCCGCAGATACTCCACTCCATTGCCGATTTAAATTACGCCGTGGGCCAATTTCACACGCGCCATTCATCAAAACTTTCCCCTCCATAAACACAACTTAAGGAAAAGTCATAAAATGCACACACTTAAGTGCCTAGGAATAAGTGACGATCTTGTGCAAATGCACACAAACATACGCAGAGCCGCGCACACTCATGCAGCCCTAGCCCAGGAGCACAATGATAACACCATATGGTTCCTTCAGATAAAAGGGCCACCCGCCACAGAGACAGAGCCCCCCCAATGCATCATGCCGGTCTGCGAGTCCCCCCCGGAGATGGACTATGCGCGGCGTACCCCCAGCACCACTCACTCATTCCCCCGCAGGCAGCTGTAGAAGCTGGTCATGATGGGCAGGCAGACGGACGGGGAGAGAGAGAGAGAGAGAGAGAGAGAGCGTGGGGTGAGCGGACGGCGGCTCCTAGATCATCTCTCCTCGCCGGCGTCCTGAGAGCGAGTTGTGAGCGTGAGAGTCAGCCACAGATACTTGTGTCCCCCCCCACCTCTTCTAAAGGCAGAGACAGAGACACACACACACACACACACACACACAACCGCACACGCTCACACTGACAGACTGCATACCTCTGCACGGGCGCAGATAGCGACACGCTGTGGGGGGGGGGGGGGGGGGGGCTTCACTCAGCCCGCCCTGACAGTCTCCACCTCCCAAGCTCCACTTCCTTTAGCCGCCACCCAGCTCCAACCCATAATCCCGCTCCGGGGCGACTGGGCCCAGCATCGGCATGGTAATTAGGCCGGAGTACCCAGAGCCGCGTCCCGTGGCGGGGGCCTCGTCCGAGTCCCACACCCGGGGGAACCCACCCCATCACCACCACGCTAACTACACACAACACAAAGCCCTGCAAGCTTCTCTCTCAGGGAGGCACATATTTAAATTCATGATAACAGATGACAGAAATATGACTTGGCCGTACCATTCAGGGATTACGTCCACCACCACGGGAGCGACCGCACCACCTTCTGGCTGCCCCCTCCCCGCAGGGCAGGACTGAGACGCCGGGTCGGATCACCCATGAGCGACAGGAAAACAAACAAGGCCGTTTCCGGCGGTTTCCTGTCAAGCTGGGCTTTCTGGCCGGGAAATGCGAGGGCTGAACACAGCCGAGGCGAGAGCGCGAGGGGCGGCAATCGATCCCGAAAGGAGCAGCCTACATAAACAAGCCAGCAGATCCTAAATCCCTGTAAAATGTGGGCTCTGGATGGTGAAATGCACCATCTGGGGACTTGAGTATGTAAATGAGCCGATTATGGACGGCGGTAAATTCCTTAAACCGTAACAGGAAATTACAGTTTGCCATTCGCCACCGAAGGAGGTCAGCTCGTTATGAATGAAGACTGACATTAACGGGTTCGTTCTGCTAATGCAAGGTACAGTTTTTTTTTTTCATATTCCATTTTTATAAAATGCATAACCATGCTGCATCACATACGGGGAGAGGTACCCCAGCCCCCCCGTGACCAGTATTAGGATAACCATTTGTAGGGTGGATGGATTTCATGAGAGCATGTGTCTGAAACCCTCAACCTCAAGCACGACTGCACACCTGGATTTTACAGCCAGTTTTACAGGTGACCAATGGACCTGAAACAGCAGCCATTGTGGCTACACCCCCCACGGCCCCCCCAAACACAAAACCTTCAAGCCTTCATTCCGTGGTACTGGCTGCACAGATTTTCTTAATAGTTAAATATTTACAGTAAAGTTCATCTGTCCTTCCATCCTCCATTAGTGCTTATCCAGCAGCAGCTGTTTCCCAGCAAAGCAGGAGAACATCCTGGACAGGCTGCGTTACACACACACACACACACACACACACACACACACACAACCTTGACGCATTCATACCTCTGTATTGACAGCACAGCTTTGCGTAATTGTCAAATATTTACAAGAAAGCTTCTGCAACAGAAAGGTAACATTTTACTTGGCGCTTCACCAGAACAGGGATTTTGATCCATCGGCTGAATTCTACAGTGTCATGTTTGCCATTTTCATGGGGGGGGGGGGAGGAGCTTGTAAGCACACCCCAGTTTAATCCTCTACAGCCCCACTTCTGCTCGTTTGGAGGAATGCTGGTCAGATTTTTCCTGTGGAGAAAAAGCACAGGCACGTCCTGAAAAAAATTTACATTAGATTTTTTTTAATAATTATTAAAGTAAGCACTAACATTCAGCCCTGGGGGGTGGTTTTCCTCGAGATCCCAGCATTGTCTGAAAGCCCCGAAATTCACCCAAATCGCAGTCAGCATGACGTATCCACCTTCCAAATATTTCCCACAGTACAGACCTCACACTCACTGCCTGCGGTCAGCAAAAATATTTATACAAGCATAGGGACCCAATAGCGTTTCTGGGCCCATGTTTTACAGAAGTTCAGAACCATTTTCCATGGTCCTTAAAAACAAGGTATACAGTCATTTACTGTTTTGACCAGACATTTGTGAACATACTGTATTGACAGGAAACTGTCAGTGAGGAAGGTTCCCTTCCTCACTGTATTAAGAGATATGAAGTAATTATTACTTGAATAGGAAAAAAATAAGCACTAAGGTCTGCCCCCCACCCCCGTTTGGAGACCCCAGTGCAGTCTGTACTTACCACAGTGGTGGCAGGAGGATGATGGGAGGGGGTGCATGTCATGAACACAGTTTTAACAGACTCAAATTTCTGAACCACCCCCCCATCACAGGGCTGTGGAATATTTCTTTTCTTTACAAAGCCCTCAAAATTCCGGCGAACATCTGGAAAAGATCTTGGCGGGCTTATAATTAGGACCATGCTCACAAGACCGTAAATAACCCAGAAATGGTACCCAGTCATACCAAAGGGGGGCAACAGCCTTGCAGGACAGGCAGAAATGAGCTTTGTGGGACAGCGCATCTGTTTGAGTGACAGAGAGCCTGCTGCCACTGGAGGGCGCTAAGTGGACCCCCCCCCCCCCCCCCGACAGTCCCATTCAGTGCACAGGTAGGTGCGTGGGGTCCCGCCCCATCTAACTATCCACTCTATAACCTCACCTCCTGCTGGGTTATTACAGCCCTGCATCACCCTAGCCAGCATCGCTTGCCAATCCATCAGCGAAACCCCCCCTGCCCCCACACCCCATCCTGAGGAGTAATTTTACCCCGTGGTACTGGTGGGGGGGGAGGGGCACATGAGAGGCCAGGTCCCTGTGCCTGATATTGTGCCGACTGTGATTGGTTCACAGCCCCTATTTCAGGGGTGCAGACTCCTTGCTGCCTCCAGCAATAAAACTCCAGCGTTTGCACTTTTCTCTGGGGCATAAGCAGGCTTTTAGAGAATGAGTCTGATGCTCCTTTGAGGAGACTCTGCTAAAAAGGCAAACTGTCCCCCGCCCTGCACTGAAGCCATAACGCTGCTACCAAAATCTACACACTGCATATTCCTGTTCATTCAACCTGATTGCCCATTTGCACAAGTGTATTTTAACTGCATTTTTCTGTCTTAGGTCCATGTTTCAATATGTCTTGTTTAAATTACTTACATATTTATATTTGATTTTTTTACTGTTTCTTTGTAGTATGGCCAGCGAGATGGATATTTCATCTCAGTGTGTGATCCATGCATCATATACATGCATCATATACATGCATCATATACATGCATCATATACATAAAGATACTTTGACTTGAGTATGAACAAGAGCCCCCAGTAATTCTGTGAAAATGCATCCCCTGGAGAGCCTAATGTCTTTTCTTTGCAACCCTGGAAATATGTATATTTGCTTCTCACCAACACATTGAAAAAATGATGATGGCCAAAAACACATCGCAAACAAAACAAAACAACACAAGAGTGAGATGTGAGGGAAAGACTCCCTCCAGAAACATCACATGCAGAATGGAAAGCTGAATATGCCATAAAAGTGACCCTCTTATTTTCAGAATTGCTGTCACAAAAGCACAGAATCATGACATCACTTCAGCACCGTACTCCACGGCACCAAGCCAGCGACGCCCACAACCACATACTCTGGATGTATTTTAGAGCAATCTTTACTTTCACTTGGCTGGTGAATGTTGCAATTTGGCCAAAGCCTCCAATCCATCAGAGGACAAACAAAACAACCCATAATCCACCTTCATCCATGACCTTAGTCGCCTGTGAATGTTTGTGATGGGCAGCAAAGCAGGAAGTGATGTAAGCCATCGTGGCATGCATGTTCTGATTGGTCCTTCGCACCTTCATCATGGGGTCTCCCCAGCAGGAACCTCAGTTTATGTGGAGGACCCAGTGGAATGTCCAAAAGCCTAACAAAGTGTTAAGGCAGAGAACACCCCTGTGCTTTGGTGAAGCTGTCTACCACCTTGTCATTGGCTCAAGCCAGTCACATGCTCCTGCAATATTTTTTTCCTGCCCTGGGTCCCACACTGGTACCCCTGCTCTACTTGCTAGCTATGCGATGGAGGATCTTCCTGGTGTTTGTCTGGTCTGTTGTCCTGAGTCAGAGCATTGCTGGTTGGCTGGCAGGGTCAGAACCAAACCCCCTTATACCTTCAGGAAAGGTGGACACATTCCTGAAATCACTGAAACAGGAGTAACTCCTGTCAGCTAAAGCAGTTTTACAGACAATCCCGAATAACTACACGGACAGTTCTTTATCTGACAGTCACTGTGAGTCCATAAAAGTCACCTCAAACAACATGGCAGAGGTTCCAAGCCCGGTGAATCGATTAAAATGGTGAAAACAAGGAAACGCTGGTCTCTTTCTGTAAAGCACACAGAACAGCATGACCTGCCTGGGTGATTTCTCCCTTATCAGTGAACCCATGTGCCTCACACATAAACCGCCTTGTTAATTCCCGGGTCTTACACACAGTTCCATATTAGGACCTATCAAGAATAATCGCCAAAGCATTCGTCCATTTTGTGCTATGGTCCGGATCACTGTCCGCCAGCAGACAGTGGGAGGGCAGCCCTGCCCCCGCCACCCCCCCGACCGTCCATTTACCTTTAAATTGGTGTCTCAGGAAGTATCGTTTGGGTTCAGCATAAACCGAGAGGACCCATTACTGAGACTCGGTACCTTAAGGTCCACAGCGAATCATGGCATGTAAAAACCACCAGGAGCCAGCATTTCATAACCTTAAAAGCTCAGTACAAGTTAGCCACTGAAACGACTTGTTTTTCGTAACAGGACCTTTAAAACCCTGGACTGATTCCCGTATGGAACAACTGGGCAGCACTGTAATTTCATCAGGACGTATAATTAGTTACGCTGTTTATACGGAAAACTAAACACAATAGAACATACACTAAAATCGTTTAATCACATTACAGGCTCTTTATTTGTGAATATATACAATAAAACACTGATTAGTTATACGTACCACTCAATAAGATTAAAAAAAAAAAAGTCGACGGGACCGAAAGCAGATTGTCCGCACTTATAATCATATGTGTACTTTTTTTGTGAAATCTGCACTGAAAAAATGGGATTGGTGAGTTTTTTCTTGTACTTACAGAAACTTACAATACTCAGACAAAATGCCATGCCTCCCTGGCAAATGACTTTGAGAAGTTGAAGCACAACTCCGGATTTCTGTCGGTGTCCCACTATCGCGTCCAAAACACGCCGAAGGCTTATAAGCGGGATTTAACGGTTCGCGGGTACTTACAGGTTGGGTTACGTCTCAGAGAGCGGTCCTGTGCATCCATCAAAACACAGAAAACGCTGCAGTTTGGGATTATTAGATTTGTCCCGGTAAAGCCTGGGTTTCCCCACCAAGCGCTCAGTACCGCCCTCCCTTTCTGCTCGGAAGTGGAGCTTTTCAGTGAGATTTTCAGCATTGAGCAGAAACTAGCAGCTTGGGGTCTGATGACCAGTGCCCCCCCCCCCCCTTAAACCTCATATAAATGTCATACAAACAGAATGACAGCACAAACAGCACACACAACAAATAAAGGGGTTTTGTGGACGTTTCTGAACTACAGTTTATAAATCCATTTAAAACACGGTCACAGAACTGGTTTCATGTATGTGTTCCATTGCTATAGTTATAGCATACGAGGGATTTTTCAATCGGACTATTACTACTTAAATAATATCAAACTTACTTTTTGCTTAATAACAGGAAGCGGTCCTTCGAGTATGACAAGCTTACTTCGAGGAAATGAAAGCTCCCACATTGACTGTAATCCCCCCATCCCCAAAACAAATAAAGATGAAAAAGGGCATTGTGTTACTTTGAGGAAGGCTTAAGCTGAACCAGTGAAGCCACTTCGCAGTGCACGCCTGGTCACGTAGCTCTATCTAGTGGCCTCCCTGACTTATTGTTAGGAATCACGCAAATAAAGCAGTGCAGCTGTGTACGAGCAGAAAGTATTCAGTGTTCCCGGATTCAGCGCGTATTTTTCCTGAACCTGGACGTTATAAAACCACCACGAGACACATATTCCCACTTAAAATTAACGTTCACCAATCCATGTAATACTCTTCCAACGGCTCGTCAATAGGACTTTGTTTTAAAAATACAACTTTCACCACTTTCCTGCAACGTGTCTTTCATTAAATAACTGGCCTTCATTTCTAGGTCATTTGTGTATTTATCCTAAAAGTATATTTTGGGTTCATGTATTTAGCCTTACTAAAATATCTATGGCACCATTCCCATTTGGCTGACTTTAAACTCGTGTTTCATTCCCGTTTGGAATAGGCCAGTGCAGGAAGACTTATATCTAACTTGTTGAACATTTCAGTTAAACCTTTTCGTGATTAAGTGGTTACATTGTTAATAACTGAGAAGGAGGAGACTGTCCTTAAACAAACATTTAATTCAGGCTGGTATATGTAAGCCAGGGACTCTTGAATACAAGGTCGACGCCCTCCTGTTCCATATTAACGATAAGCACTTGGATAAGGACTTACCCTAAGGTTGAAGGTATAGATCCGAGATGAGGTCCTATGTACCTTTGACAAAGAAACAGCCTGGATTGCATTAGTGAAAATGCAGACTTGTATAGAAATATGAATGTTTACCAAACAGATAAAATGGTCTAAACATCAACATGCAGTGCTTGGGCCATCTTCCATCCTGCTAATTCCTTGAACTTGATGATGAAATAGATGAGAATCCTGGAACCTGAGTCTCAGTCCCCAGTCTACTTTATGAACCTTGTCTGGAAAATTTCACCAAAAAAAAAAAAAAACTATTTTGAAAGGGCTTAGTCAATGATCCAAAAGCAAGAAACTTCCTGAAACTGCCCAGGGAAAATGTTAAGTCACATCTACCATCCATCTTCATGTATAAACAATGTATCAGACCTGGAGCTTTTAAAACACGCTCGTGTGATTCAGGATCCCTCGTCTGCCTGAATCGGGTTCGTTGAAATGCTAACTGGCCCAGTCCCAAAGGTTCCCAAATGATTACAGAGCTACACATGACATTATAATACGACCTTTTGTATCATTATAGTAAATTCACTGGGTATATGCTATAATCACAAATTGGTTTAATTTTATTTGCAGAATTAATTAGAAAAAAACAAATATGTAATCCAACAGTCACATAACTACGGATCCACCGAAGTCCCATAGTGATTTTTTTTATCTTGTGCGCACAAGTTAATATTTGTAAGGAACAGGTTAGCTGTGTATAGCTGCCGTACTACGTTTGCTAGACCTCTAGGTTAAGCTGCATTTGCAATTTTCAAGAGTTTACTGATTTCTCAAAAATGATTTCATTGACATAATTAGATAGACGAATTGCTGTGTGTTTGATGTTACTCGCTTGTTTAATCGAATCGTTCTCCTAAAAAAAACATTGCTGGCATCAGGGTACAACATAATAAGATACAGTAGCCTTGCAATTAATATTACTCGAAGGAGTAAATGCAACGCTGCTGCGCACTACTTTGGCATTAAGGCTGAGTTACACAGTCCGTGTGAATGGTCGCGACAGAGCGCCATGAAAAATACTTTTTTCTTTCACTATCGGTAATTATAGTAAAATAGGTATAAACAGGCACAATAAATACAATAAACAGGTGTCAGTAATGATGTATGTACTGTACCTGTTTATCATAGTGAATTATTATGATTACCGATAAGGACCGAAGAAAAAGTATTGTTCAACTTCATGTCGCTTTACCTCTGTCGCGACCATTCATACGGACTGTAACTGTCGTACGCACAAGATACATAACTTGTGCGCACAAGTTATATATCTTGTGAAGAAAACAGAATGTTAATAAAAATAATTAAGCTCCCTAAAGTACTTGGTAACGATTAATTATATAATTATTTTGTATGAGTTCTGTGAGTTTGTGGAAGTTTAAGAAATTGCTGAAATACACAACAAACACATTTTTCAGTGCATAATTTTAATTAAGTTTTAAAACCTAATGTTTAGTTTGGTGGCGTTTCATTTAAACCAATCCAGCGTTTATTATTTTTACTACTAGCAATATCATCATTGTCATGACCGTCATTATTGTAGGAAAAATGTGCTAGAGTATCTCCTGGACCTTGGTGTTGGTATAAAGCACAGTGACCCCCCTCCTGCCCGCCTCCCGTAGGCGGGGCTTCAACCGGGAAGTAATTTCACGCACAAGAAGCGAGGCATAGGAAGCAAAGCAGAAGTCAGATGTCATTTAGTCCGGGAACTGTTTTTAAACTTTAAACGACCTGCAAAAAACCGGCGATTCGGTGGGAACATTTTTTAAATTTAATTAAAACTTGGACCAGTTTTTGACCCAGAAGATGGCTTCCTGTACATGTCTGACTTTCCTAACTCTTCAGATGTTAATATCGCTGGTCTTGTCCTCAGGTACGCTGAACACTACATCTGCAGCAGACTATGCAACTTAACCACCCTCCCGGGAGACTTAACTTTAGGTTCGATGCGGTGATTTAACCCCACGGACACCGTAGTGCACATGACATTTTGTAATTCTGCATAATTAATGCGAAACCCGTGTACCACCAGCCTGCTGTCTGTCTGTGTCCCTCACAGGGAGACCTAACATCCTTCTGATCGTGTCGGACGATCTGCGGCCCGCCATGGGAAGCTATGGTTTCTCAGGGGTGATGACGCCCAACCTGGATCAGCTGGCGTCGGAGAGCGTCGTGTTCCGTAACGCATTTGCGCAGGTGAATCGGGAAAGCGAGAAATCCGTGCCGTACCAACAATATGAACAATGAATGCCCCCCCAGTATTTACCCCGCTCAGAGTGTCCAGTTTTAATGAGGCTATAAAGATTATATTGTGTACCTTAAGGATTTTTCCACAAACATAGACGGTGCACCTGTGACATTTAAACATTAAGGGTCAGAAGAGTTGTTGGTCGTTTATCTTATGTCTGAAGGTTTACATAAAGACGAAATTAAGAACGTTTATCATGTGAAGACCCCCCCCCCAATAAATAAATAAACAAACAAACAAACAAATACATTTAAAAACATGTTGGACTGCACTGATGGACGCCCCGGTTACAATAACAGTAATAAGATCATTATAATTAACAGCATGCACCTGTTATTATTACTGTGGTTTGCTTGCATTGTTTTATGCCCCTAATTGCTATTCTATTATTATTTTAAGAAGACGCATTAGGGATAATTGGAGTCGTTAACCATTTGCCTATATCTCGTTAAGCAAGCGGTGTGCGCACCCAGCCGGACCTCCTTCCTGACCAGCCGGCGTCCCGACGCCACCCGGCTCTACGACTTCAACTCCTACTGGAGGGTCCACGCGGGCAATTACACGACGCTGCCGCAGTACTTTAAGGAGCAGGGCTACCACACCATGTCTGTAGGGAAGGTCTTCCACCCAGGTAAGGGGATGTGAATATCATTAAAAGTCATTGTTTATAAGGCCTTAGATTGTGGTAGCATCACAGAGTTCTACAGTCTCTATTATTAAACAGTAATAAGATTTATTGTTTAAATGTATAATGAAAATAATAATAATTTTCATTAATAATTATTATTAATAATAATAATAATAATAATAATAATAATTAAACTCTGTTCTCCGTGTGTAGCTGGTTCCTTTGTCCATGTTCCCTGTACATTCCTGAATGTTTTGTTCCCTCTGTGTTATGCTAATGTGATAACGTTATTTGGATTTAGCATGTCTAGAACAGCAGGCCACAGCTAAGTGTATGTATGTAGTTCTGTGATTGGTTGCGTGCGTGTCGCTCTGTGTGGCAGCCAATGACACGTTCCCTACTAAAGCGTAAGTGTGCTCGTCTCCCCCCCTCTGAAGGCATCGCCTCCAATCACTCGGATGATTTCCCGTACAGCTGGTCTGTACCGCCGTATCATCCCGCCTCCTTGGCCTATGAAAAGAGGAAGGTGGGTGCCATTCAGCAAGCCGGTGCCATTACCATAATCGCATACAGGATTTTGGTGTGTTTTTATATATATAATCTATATATAATCTAGAATAGTCACATTATATATAATAGGCGACACACACATATATAATATGTGTTGCCTGTTATATATAATGTTTGGCACAGTGATTCTGTCCACTGGCATTAATATTATGTGGTCTTTGTGCATTTGTATCATAGAGTTATGAGGATCATGTTAGCAGACCACGTAAGATTCATCTCTGCAGCGATCTGCTTGCATTTATCACCAACGTGACAGTTTCATAATCACACTGTCAGCTGAGCGAGACCCCTCAGAGCTGTGCCATCACACAAACAAGCATTTTTTTTCTAAAGAGCCATCTTAATGCGGCAACAGGAAGACGACGCTTAATAACCTGAAGGTAGCAGTTCGCTGTTCTGTCCATCTGGATGAAGGTGTATGGACTACGATGGGGTTTAGACCTAACACCCCACCGATGTAGACTGCAGTCATGACCCGATCAGATGTGCAGTGTGGACCATACAGTCGCTTCCTTTCCTTAGCGCTTTAGGGTTGTCTGACCGGAGCTGACCACGTTGAGGTGGTCCAGCTCGCACACTGTGTATGGACGCCCCCTACAGGTCTGCAGGGGCAAGGACGGGAAGCTCCATGCCAACCTGCTATGCGCTGTCAACGTGTCGGAGATGCCGCTGAAGACTTTGCCCGATATGGAGAGCACGGCAGAGGCTATCAGGCTGCTGCAGTCCATGAGGGAGGCGCAGGAGCCTTTCTTCCTAGCTGTGGGCTACCACAAACCTCACATTCCTTTCAGGATCCCACAGGTATTTCAGTTCTTCCCTCTAGGGGGTGCACTATGCTGCTGTGAGCAGAGTTTGGAATGCCACTTCAATGCTGGGGTTCCCCAGATAACCAAAGAAAAAGGTGTTTTTACCGGGGAAAAGACATTGACCACACAATGTACTGGATGAACAGTGATGGATGGATGGATGATGGGATGAATGGATGGATGGACACTCACGCTGCATAACAGTAACCACAAAGCTCCGTTAAATGGTTTCCTTCCTAGGATGTCCTAAGGCAGGGGTGGCCAATCTTATCCACAAAGGGCCGGTGTGTATGCAGGTTTTTGGGATAACCTGTAGGTCAGCTGTTCAAACCCAGGTGTGAGGACTCTTCAGCCAATCAGTCCTCTAATTAGTAATTAATTAGGGAGTTGCAGCGAAAACCCACATACACACCGGCCCTTTGCAGATAAGATTGGCCACCCCTGTCCTAAGGTTTCCAGGCTCTTGGTTGTGGAGTAGAAAGAGCGTGTTGATATATTGGATGTGGCGGAAGTGGGCAGCAGGGGGCGCTGTGGTTAAAAAAAGTAGGAGGTATGATTCTTTCCCCAGGAGTTCCTGAAGCTCTACCCCCTGGAGAACATGACTCTGGCCCCTGACCCCGAAGTCCCCAAAGGCCTGCCCCCTGTGGCCTACAATCCCTGGACAGACATCCGAAAACGGGAGGATGTGCAGGCGCTGAACGTCAGTTTTCCCTACGGGCCGATCCCCCCGGACTTCCAGGTCGGGCTTGATGGATCTCGATATGGATTTTCTTTGACGGCTCGTTAAAATCGACGCGCTTCCTCCTTGCTAATTCGGTATGATTTGGTGGCTGTCTTCTGTCTCACAGTTACGGATTCGGCAGCACTATTTTGCTGCAGTATCCTACGTGGACTCGCTGGTGGGAATGCTTCTGAGCACGCTGGATGATCTGGGATTGGCCAGGAACACTGTGGTGCTTTTCACCTCTGATCACGGTCAGTACCTGTGTGCTATAGTCTTCGTTCTGCCTGAGTACATCAAGTGCTCCCTTTAGCGGCAGTGGGTGGACATGTGGCCGGCGTCTCTGGGACGCTGTGCTTTTGAGGCTTTTTGCCATGTTTTTGTCACCACTAGATGGTGATATAGTGACACCCAAGTTTTTTCTTTTCCTCTCTGTAGTCAGTGGGCTTTCGAATCCCTTGGAGCCATTGGTCTGGCTTGGGCAGGATAGGAAACGGGTTTGTTTTTTTGGATTTGTTTCTGTGGCGTTTTTTTTTTTTTTTTGTATAACTCTGGAGGCTGTTTTTAATCTTCCCTGTTCCTTCCATGTAACAAGTGTCTTCAAACATTATTCTCAAAGTCCTTTTTTGTTCTGGCCTGGCCAGCTTCACGGCGATTAGTGTTGAAATGTGTTGACATCGATATAGAACGTTCCTCGCTTCTCTTCCAAATGCCGTGCTATATTTTGTCTGGTGAACTTCTGCTGCATTTTTTTATTTCCATGAATTTTCTTGACACATGGCTCTGTGCAGCGAGGTACACGTCCGAAATTCTCATGCGGTCACATGGTCTGGGCCTTACCTTAAATGCCGTAGTAGACATTCCTCCTCTTTTTTTATGTGATTTATTATGTGTTAATTATTCATTTTCATCACGGCTGTTAGATATTGTTCAAAGGTGCTTTCTGGCGTGGTCTGTTACTGGGTTTTGGCCAAGCCCCCGCTTTTCTGAGTGTGTCGGCCAGGTCGTATGTGTACAGGCTTGTTTAACGTGTTTTTGGCATGCCCTCTCTGTGCTCGCAGGCTGGTCTCTGGGTGAACACGGGGAATGGGCCAAGTACAGTAACTTCGACGTGGCCACGCGTGTGCCACTGCTGATCCACGTTCCCTGGGTGATGTCACGGGCCGGGCGGACAGTGGGGCGGAGCTTCCCCTTCTGGGACGTGTTCCGCTTCCCCCACAAACGATTTGCCAAAGGTGAGGCAATGTGCACTGACCCCCCCCCCCCCCCCCTCCCTTGCAGCGGTATGCCATGTTCATCGGTGAACTGAACATCCCACAGTCATCTTCCCGTAGCTGTATGTGTTGTTGTCTAACTGTCCCCATTTGAAGGGCATGTTTTATGTAAGCGTATTCATTTCTATTACTACCAGGCCTATACGAGGCTACTTAAGCAATTTGCTCAGCTATTACACAGATTTTCACCTGAAGCGAAATGGCTTAAAAGGACACTATAAAAACTGTTTACTAACCCGTCGCTCATGGAGACCCCCCCCCAGGCCCTCAGGGGGATTTGATGGGTCTGTGTGTGGGCTGCTAGCTGAGATCTTCCTCTCTTCCCCTCAGGATGGGCTGTCAGGAGCGTGGTGGAGCTGGTCGACCTCTTCCCCACGCTGGCGGAGCTGGCAGGACTCAAGGTCCCCCCACCCTGCCCTCATGCCTCCTTTGCCGTCCAGCTGTGCACGGAAGGTTCCAGCCTGGTTCCGAGCCTCCGGGCCCCAGAGCACAGGATCGATACGGAGGCCATTGCATATAGCCAGTACCCCCGTCCCAGCGACGAACCCCGGGATGACTCGGACTTGCCGTCCCTGCCTGACATCCGCATCATGGGTTACTCTGTGCGCTCCTGGGACTACCGCTACACGTTGTGGGTGACCTTTGACCCAACTCACTTCCAGGCCAACCTGTCGGACATCCACGCCGGAGAGCTGTACCTTCTGTGGGAGGACCCGGGACAGGACCACAATGTGTATGATAGCAGCGAGCACAGCGTCCCCTACAGGAAGCTCAGCTCAGTCCTCCCGTGGAGAGATGTGCTGAAGCAATACCTGCTCTGTTTCCGCAAAGGGTTAAAACCTGAAGGGATGCTTTAACTCTTCACTGCATGGTGGAGAAGGACGACAGCCCATGCAGGGAGGCCATGTAAAAAAAAACTGAAGGGATCATTTCACAATTCTGGACTTACCTTAAGGAACGAGGGAACAAGAATAGGGAGAGAATCAGGGAACGTAACACTCAGAGAGAGAATAAGGGAGACATAACACAAGGGAACAAAAACCGAGAGAGAATCTGGGGAACATAAGGGACCATGAACAGAGAGAGAATAAGGGGAACAAAAACCGAGAGAGAATCCGGGGAACATAAGGGAGCATGAACAGAGAGAGAATAAGGGGAACAAAAACCGAGAGAGAATCCGGGGAACATAAGGGAGCATGAACAGAGAGAGAATAAGGGGAATAAAAACCGAGAGAATCCGGGGAACATAAGGGAGCATGAACAGAGAGAGAATAAGGGGAACATAACATAAGAATATGGGAGCATGAGCACAGAATAAAGAGAAGGTAAGAATGAGGGACTTTGGGAGCTGTTTGTGTTCTTTCATTCCATGCACCAGTGCTGCGTAATGGGGCGGCTAAGTGCATCGACATGTCTGACACACGTTGCGTGTTTTTTTCTGTGTGATTCGGCCGCCATGTTGGGGGGGGGGGATTCACTGCTTCTCACAATAGCAGCTTTCATGAGAATCGCTCAAGGTGCAGAAAAACCACATCACACAGCAGCCGTGCACCTCCACCTCCCTGCACCCCCCCCCTGCCACCGCCTTAACTCTGATTCTCGATGGTGCGCCTCACATTTCACTCAGCACCTTGTGAAAACCACCCGCCCAGGTGACCACGGCTCCCCGTGGAGACTAAGAATGTAAACCAGACCCGATTCTGGCCTGCTGGTCTCCCCACACCAGGTCACAGAGGCCCGGTATCAGCAGTGGTAATGAGCTTAGGTTCTGGCACCATGTTCTCTTCCGTAAACATCATGTCAGCCACGTTCGTCCTGGTGCTGCCTTTTGCAGTTTTTGTTTTGGGGGCGGGCCTGCCCGGTTCCTGGGGTGCACTCAGTCATGCGTGGTGACGGTGGCCGGCGGCCAGAGAGGCGGGATCGATGGCCGTGGCGTTTCTTGCTGAGCAGATGCATCTCGGAGCGTCCGGCGCAGAAGATGGATGAGGCTGTCAGAGCACAGAAAGGGGAAAATGATTTAACTTGGAATAAAGTCTTATTTTGTCACGTCACTGTGCTGGCTGCTCTCTGCTCCTGCGCAGGCTCACTGTGAGTTTGTAACAGTTACTGCTTTTGTTTTATCTCTGTGACACTAAAGCCGTCTGCTGGTACATTGCAGTGCCCCCTGTTTAAAGACTGCAGGAATGATCGGTCTGTCCAATAGGCAGCTGACTAGGGTGCCGCCTTCTGAGGGTGCTGGGTATGGGGGGTGGGGGGCGTGGGGTTGGGGTGGGGGGCTTGCCCCTCTTGTGTCTGGCGGCGGCCCCCACCCCCACGCTGCTCCATGCCGCACGTCCATCTCGCCAGCCGGCGTCCTGCGGATCACGCCACTGCGAACGTGCTGCGAGCAGGATGTTCTCCGGCTCCCCCGGGACAGCCCGCACGTTCAGCTCTGGCAGGAAGGCCGTGCTGCCAGCTGGGCCCGGAAAATTCCAGTGCCTCACCCTCCCCCCAGTGCCTGAGAGCCGGCCGGAGATGGATCCCAGGACTGATTGAGGCTGATATTTTAATTGCTTCCATCAAAGCAGGATTCTGCTTTACTCTGTCCAGTTCTGTGTCCATGTTTTTCATTCCCGTTCAGCTTGTGCGGTATCCACTTGGGGGGTGCGTGTTGGGGTTTGAATATATTATTTTGAGTTTTTGGGGTGGGGGGGGGATTAACCTGTTGTTTGGCACTGCTTACATGCTCTGCTGTTGGGTCACACAAGAAATAAATATTTTTTAGATGATGTTCAGCCTATCGGATTAAAATTCCAGCTGCTGTTTTTAACTTTAGGGAACATAGAGGAGGGCAGGAGGGAGGAAGCCAAGGTAAACATCTTAGCTCGAATGAAGGCAAAAAAGCAAGAATAACAACCTGCAAGCTTTAGGGTGTTACATACACAGGAGGCTTTGTGAAGCTGGTGAGACACTGGTATGGCTTCAATGGCCTCCATTCACAGATACGTAGAAATGATGACAATCTGAGCAGAGGAGTTTAACCAGAAGTTTCCAGAACATTCTGCCATCGTGTGTATTGAGGTGGTGATACTGATCTATATCCAGGAATCACCCTGTTCATCAAGTGATGCATCCAAGGAAGACAAGTGCAAATGATGAGAGTCTAGATGATATTTGGAGTACAGGCAGGATTCCTGTGAGTGGGTACAAGAAGGCAGTGTCTGTGTCAGAAGAGTAACGTGGAAGTGGAGACAGAGGTGAAGCATGTGCTTGGACGTCCATGGCGTGAGCTCTGGGAAGATCAAGGTAAATCTGCTCTGAGGAGAAGCTCAGGAGCAGCCAGAGAGACGAGTGATGGCCGATTTTCAGGACAAGTTTGTCAAGAAGTGATGCTGGCGTGTTCCCACACCGCCTCTCGGTGGCGGTTAGCCAGCATTGCGGGCAAAAGGGGCAGGATTCTGGTGTCTGCTGCATCGCACCAGCTCTGCAGGACGCAATGGACATGCGCAGTGAATAGGGAGGGTGGGTATAAACTCATTTAACTTTATATCTTTTAAAATGTCATGCTTTGTAATTGATGCCACATGGCTTATTGTTCTGCAGGGGGTTATACCTCTTGATTAGAGCATCACCCGTTCTGCTCGTGATCCGATCGTTGTGTGCGAATGTTGGACGGAGCCTTGCGATGGACTGCTGTCCCATTACATCGCTCCCTTCCATTATTTAGCTGATGTACAATTAAAAAGCAAGATCAGCCTGTCTCTGGAACAATTATGGTGACAGTTCACAGGCCCAGTAATGTAATCTTTCTGCCTCTCTTGGGATTTGAACTTGGGCCTTTCTGATTACAAACAGCATCCTCACCTGCTGAGCCACATCCCCACAATGGCTCTCTTTAGCCTGGGCACTGCGGTGATTTCTGGACTTAGCTGGACTGTTTGGAATATGTGGACGTCACTCAAGGCTAGTGTTCGAGTTGATAAAGTGGTCTTATATTATTTATCCTGCCCTGATGGTCTGGTTTGGAGGTATGCTTAGAGCCTGCAGGATGCATTCAATCTTTTCTTCATCGCCACACATTCAATTCTGGAAGGAGCTGCTGAAGTAGCTAACAGACCATAACATCATCTTGCTGCTGGTTGTATATGAGAGAGAGAGAGAACTACATTATTGTCGTGTCGATTTTTATTAGTATTTCATTTTACGTCTCACTCTGTTCTGAATGGTTTTCGTGCCAGATGTACACAACTGACTTAATCACCTCAGTTATCATTTTCAGTTCATTTGCTGTAAACCTGTCTGCGATAATTTAGGGCGAAGTGAAGATGTGACTTTGACCGCAAAATTGGCCGAGACACATCTTGGCACAGTCACTGAGGGGCCCCCACAGAGGGTTAGGGCCCCGTGAGGGTCGGTGGCAGGACACCGCTGTAATGCTACATGTGGTGGGGGTGGATGGTCATGGTTGTAGAACGTTTAAGGAATCCCTTCTCACCACCAGGATCTGACCACCGCAGGGCAAGGCGTCCTGGCTGGGGTTTGCATCGGCTGGCATCACTAATGGGTGTCCTTATTAGCTATTGGCAGATTTGTACCTTTATTTGGCCCCGATCAAAATTCTCTGCAGGATACCTGGATGAACTGGCAATGAATAAAGCGGGAATAGTTACAGATTTAGGCTGTGACATAGAGGGAAATTGGGAGGGCTTAGATGCAAGGTCTTGCTGGAGGTTTTTCTTGGGGCTGGTGGGGTTGTCCGGGTATGGCCATGCCCCCCCGAGGAAAGCTGACACGCTCTGTTTACACAAAGCCGAATGTGGCACCCATAAAAGACAGCTGGGCCGCGTTAGCAAACGGTCTGTGACCCATTACGCATGCAATCAAAGGCGCTTTGAAGGTGCGTGCGTTCCCTTAATTAACCCAGAATCCTGTGACCGTTGTCTTTCGTTGCCGGGCCCTGAGTCGTACCCCATAAAAACGTATCCCGCAGCGAGACCAACCTGCCTAAAATCCGGGCCCCACCTTGTTTATCACCAACATTCATATGCCTCCATCGCTCCTACGATTCAAGTGCTTTATTGTCATTTGTACAAGCACAATGAAATTCTCGCTTGTGTACATCACTGCAGACTTCAACAACATATTACGATGAAGATCAATAAATAACAGAATAGTGGGAACAATAGTGTAGATACAGCACACACAATGGATACAATGTACATGTAATATTTGCAATATACAGCTATATAAAAACAGGGTAACATGGTGCTGATGAGCGATGGTTCAGTAGAGTTGTGTGTTGGACATGGTCTGAAGGAGGGTGCAGTGATGTGCAGGTACTACTGCCTCTGTCTGGGGGGCGGGGTCCAACTGGGGGTTGTTAAGGCCCTGCCTGTAGGTGACTATAGCGTCCGCCTGACAGAATCTGCACTGGACAAAGTATAAGCCGCGGGACCTGTAGCAGACTTGCTGCTTCTTACACAGAGATTCCTGCCCCCTCTCTCTCACCTTCACTAAGGCCCCGAGTGTCCAAACGGAAGGTCCTACAGCAGCAAGCCGCTTTCTTCACTATCCAGTTTCTACTACTAAAATGAAGTTTTTTTTTGCCATTTGTATAAGTGCGGGTACATTGGAATGTGTTCATTGTCACGTATCCCATCTTATTCTCCCCATCACTCAAGTACCCTTGGAAAAGTTCCCCCAAAAAGGATGGAATTCCAAGCCCTACATGCAGAGCACAATGAATGAACAGTCCCTCACCTAACCAGTCAGCTCCCCATCACATCGGCGTACACTGCTGGCTAAATCTACAAAAATCAGTTAACAATTCACCCCAATCACATTTCTAATAACAAGTAGACTTTTTCCCCTTGTGGTTTAATCTTGACGCACACGCAGATGTTCGGAAATAAGAAAATAAATTATAAATACTTTTAATTATTAAGTAATTTCGCAAGGTGACACCGTGTAAATGACTTAGCTGTGTTGTGTGTCTCGAAGACTCTGCCTGACCTTCGTCGTTACTTATCTTAGTTAAAGACACAAAGTCAAATAGGCATCTCGGAAGTTGAGCGGGTTACAGCAGTGCCAAAAGGTCAGCGCCCGCCGGTGGTTCAATGCTGAGCGGCGGTGGCGGACCGGCACAGCTTGACGGCCATGTCTCGCACCAGCCTGGGAATCCACTCGCATTCTCTGGTCTCCGGTGCCAGTCTGCTGCGATTGTCCGGCCCGGTGGACACTGGGATGGGAGGGGGTGGATGACTGTTCAGGGCCTCCCCCGGTCAGGCAGTTTTCCGGGAAGCTCGGAGGCACAGCCATAAAATGTGCCGATAACGACCTCAGGGAGGAGTGGGCCTCATCTGGCACCTAGCCCCCTAAAAACGGCACCGGCGGAGGACGATAACAAGAGGCCTGGAATTAAAGTGAATCTCTCCCAGAGGTGCTGCTGTTGGACTCTTTAACACACTCCAGCACATTAACGGTAATGAAACACTCGTACATCACGCTGCATTACAGGAAAGCTATGCCCTTCCTATTTAAACACGCCGTTAAGTGACCGTCGCATCGTGAGCAAGAGCAGAGACCTCTCCTTGGTATGGGGCAAACTGCCTTACTGGGGGGTGGATGCAGAGCCTCAAACAGGGGCATGGAGGTTCAAGGTTCGAAGCTTTATTGCCATGAGTACAATAAAATTCTTCCTTGCATATCGTCCTCATAGGCTACAAAATGACAAGATGACAAGTTTGCAGTACTGTACAATAAAAATAATAAATACATATTAAAAAATAAAATCGAATGGCTTTGTTTTACATGGTGACATGTTAGAGGACATTGTGGAGAGTTTAGCTGTGGGTTGCAATCTGGCATCTGCGCTCTTTAGCATTTAACGTCAATTTGATTGCTTGACAAACACACATTGACTAGTACATCTCCAAAAGTGAAGCATGAGTGTTTAATTTGAAAACGTGTCACGAGGTGGTGATGTGAGGTGGGTGAGCGGGAACAGGGTCCCGGGGGGGGGGGGAGGGGCGCCTGCAGTGACATGTTGGGTATGTCATCTCGCTGATCCATC